CGGTGACTCATTGGTGGACTGTTGAGCCATTCGTCTACCATCTTTCGTTGGAGGTGGTGACGATGAGCTGGATCGTTTGCGCTTAGCTCTGCATTCGCGCGCAATATGACCTGCTTTATCGCAGTTGTAGCATCTAACCCTTGGCTTAGTCATCCCTACTAACTTTGTTTCTTCTATTACCTGCTTCATGGCGTCCTTGATCGAGTTAACGAGAGATTTGGGTTCGCAACCTTCGGTCTCCAGTTGGCGAATCTTGTGGGTCTGGGGCTTAACAATTATTCTTGCCGTCTCTTGGGCAAGGGCAAACGACACAGTTTCGGCAAACGACGCTTTTGGTGACGCATATGTTGCACATTTAATCTCAGGATCACGTATGCCATTCACAAAGGTTTCGATTTTCATACGGTCCAGCAATGGGTGATTCTCTCCTGGATACGCCATTAGCACCAAACGTTCCACCTCAGCTGCAAAGTCTTGTAACGTCTCGTTTGCCCTCTGTACTTTTCCCCTTAGTTCCATAAGGTAGATGTTTTGTTTATGTTCGCCACCGTACTTACGTTCCAGTGCAGCAATAACATCTTCATAGTTATTCCTAGAAGCGACAGGAATACTCTGTATAACATCAGCAGCACTGCCCTTCAATGCCAGAAGTAATGCAACCGCTTTGTCGCTGTCGTTCCACGAATTTCTAGAAGCCACTGTCTCGAACTGTAACTTGAAAACATTGAATGACGTAGAGCCGTCGAATACAGGAGGTTTTATTTTTAGTGTGTTATCAGGAACTCGCACCGGACCACCTTTGATTTCCAGTTCCGACATTTTCTTCTCCAGATTCGTAAACCTGTGGTCGTGGGCCAGAAATTTCTCATCCACAGACAGAATCTTCTCGTCAACCGACTGCACTTTCTTATCCAACTCTTTAATTTGGATCTCCACGGTTTCCACTCTCCTTCCAATAACTTCTGTAATGTTTTCGAGTTTCTCGTTCATTATTCTCGAATTTTCGTCAAACATTCTACAATTCTCTGCCTTGAGTTCATCTAACTTTCTGGAATTCTCTTCGAACATTCGTCTCGTGTTTTCTTCTAACTTTCTGGAATTCTCTTCGCTCCTTCTGGAATTTTCCTCAAACTTTCTGGCATTCTCTTCGAACATTCTAGCCAGCATTTCTCTTAAATCGTCAACCCTGGCAGCTACTGACGAGACTTCCCCACCGTTGGATTCGCCCATTTCCGATAAATCCACTTCATCCTTACTGTCAAACTCATATGTATCGATGTTCATACCACGGCGCTCGAACTCATCCAACAAACGTTTTTGTAGTTCAGCCTTGTTGCCAGTAGAGGACAATTCCAATTTATTGAGCTCCTTCTTCAAGTCTTCCACTCGTAGATCCTTAAACTTCATCGTAGTATTATCGTAATCTCACTTCCGACACCAATTGTTACGTTCTTGGATTTTACTAAATCCCGTGTAGACGTTGTTTTATTTCCCGATACAATTCGTACCAAATAAAACGCGGGTTCTTTCTGATTACGATTATTACAATGATTTTATTCACACAACTTTACTTTGCACTTTACTTTACACGACGGTTTCAATTCGCGATCTGATTCACAACTGACTCACTGCCTTTCCATTCCCTCTATTTATATGAGCCCTGCCTGTCGCTACAGAAGTTTCTAGACGATCTGGTAACACCTAGATCACGAACAATCTACCAATGCAACAAACACATTGAGTAACAATAACAACAACAAACTTACTGAGTGAACAATAACAACAAACTTGAGTAAACAAACTTACAATAACAACAACACATATACAGGCGAGGGAATAACAAAGAAAGAGGAATAACAACAACACATACAGGCGAGTGAATAACAAAGAAATAGGAATGACGTTTAACAAGAATTGTACGACAATAACAAAATAGAAAATGAAAGAGGGAAATGGAAGGATGTAGAAAAATCTATACAGTGGTTGTTGTTGTGAAGTTATTCAAATAAACTGCGTAGTAGAAATTTACGTTACAATTCAAATTCTTAAATTAACGGAATTCATCTAAATTAACTTAAATCTAAAGTTATATTCGTAACAATATGTACATATGTGCTGTCACCTTTTTTCATCCATATGTAATTCCTTATGTGTGTCAAAATTAACGGCGTACACAAAACTTTTATTTTTTTGTGTTCAAATCCGCATATGTATTTTACACATGACATAACCTATAAACAAAAAATCACTTTTATTTTTTTCTTAAATCAACATCATTTTTTTATTAAACACCTACAAATGAAATAATAATTTGTAATTGTTGCCTTTTCATCCTTTTCTTTGACTTGCAATTGAAATATTTTCTTCCAACAATGTATTTCATTCAAACAGCTGATTTCCTTATGTTTCACATACGAAAATAGAGCGCGTCCTATTCGGAGAAAAATACATATGTAATTGCATATCGTTTTGACACATTGAAATGTCTCTATGTTTTACATGACTTCGAGTTGCATATGTAAATAAAGTGACAGCACATATGGAAAATACATATCGTTTAAAAACACCATTATTAATTTGTTAATATTATTTTAATTGATCGTTTTACACTTCTAATGTTATATTTATGTTAGATCTTTGGTCTGTTCTCGTACTGCAAGAATCTACTAGAATTTACTATTTTCTTCGATATCATAAAAGAAAATTCGTTATCCTAGTAAAACGCAGTAGATTCTTGCAGTACGGGAACAGACAACTTATTTGCCATGAACATATTTCCAAAGTTGGATGCAGAATATTTTTGTATATTCTTTGATTTTATTTTTTTCTGTCGGCATACGAACAACCATGGTATAATTATTACAAGGCACAGCTACCAACTGATTTCATTTTTTCTCAAGGTGGCTTGTTCCATCAAATCAAAATATATATTTTGTGTATGTGTGTGTAATGTTTTGAATACTATGTCAAATAAATTCAAAATAAACTGAAATATATACAAATTTAATTGAAATGAATATTATGTTTTTAACATGTTCGTCTGGAATTAATTACTTTGTTATGGATGAAACAAACATTTGATGGTATTCCCTACTGGATTTTGGGAAGAAATCATAACCTTTCATTCACTTTTCGCGTTTTTTGTTTTATGTTGAAAAATGTCAAATAAACACAAACACTTGTTGCGTATATTTTTTTAATTTTTGGCAGAAGAAGCCATACGTGCATAGTTGCTTTTTTGTTATTCACCTCAAGCTACTATACCTTGTATTATTGTACAATGCGAACAACTTTAACATTGAGGAGAAAATCAAATTAATTTAAAATAAAAGTGCGTTAAATTTAAGAAATACACTCGATCTCAATTTTCAATTTCAATTCACATTTGAAATCGAGTGGATTTAGTAGTCTGAATATACAAATTAATTTTGTTTTCTTGTTGTAGCTTGTTAAACGGCATTTACATTAGAACTTTTTACCGGGTTAACCTACTTTATGATGATTTATTTGACATATATACAATGGAATTTACAATTTAAAACCACTGGAGTAACGAAATCCTGTACAATAAAAACGTACTATGATATCAATGCCATGTACAAAATGTATAAATGTATATGTAATGTTTTCAAAAATATAAAAAAAAAAAAATATTTTCAACTTAAGTCGTTTAAATATGCATTTGACAATGTCCGTAGGGAAGAGATTTAAAATTTGTAGGAAGAATCAATATCAAAATATGTTTTTATTCGGTTTTATGAAGAAAGCCTGATGTTCCATTCATTTTCACCTTTATAATACAATGTAAAAACTATGCCAAATGAACACAACGATTTGTTGTTTTTGTATTTATTTATTGTAATATAACCATGGTATAATAATAGAAGGTAACAGCAAAATGTAAACAAACAAACAAATTATCATCAAATAATTTTTATTTTGAAAATGAAATATTTTCGAATCCTCAAAACAAAAATGGAAAAACATGAATGAAAATCTTTCAAATTTACATTTCTATCGCTTCCACATCTTTCCTATAATTGAGCCATTGCCACATATATGTGTAACACATATGAAAATGTTGGGAATAGCGAGTTATTCCTTGAAGAAAGATTTGCTTTCCTGAAACTTTCCCAGCAGGCAGATTGAGTAAATTGAATACGGGAGCACATTTAATAATGAACAAATTCAAATTGTATGCGTTCCCAATTTTCCTGTTGGGTGATTTTTAAAAACATAATTTGTTAAATTCATATTGACACTAGTATTACGTTGGAATCAAATCAGCTGGGATTTGCTGTTACCTTTTATAATTGTACCATGCAAGGTATATTTAATAAGGTAGCCGTATCGGCCCAGCTGTTGGACAAATAAATGTCAAAAATGTTGTTGTAATGTTGAACCAAAAAATTAAAAAAACAAAATTATAAATGAAAATCTCCGAATTTCGAAGAGCTTTTTTGGCAATACTTCTATTAACATTTTCTACAAGAATTTGTGTAAAAAATCTTATCAATCTGTTTGTTTTGGCAAAATATTTTTGACATATCAAAATACAACAACCGATGTTTGTTGTAGAAATTCGCCGATGCGGCTACCTTGTATATCTACCTTGGTACCATGTAATATAACAAGCCTCTTGGTAGAGGTGTTTTTTTTTTTTTTTTTTTTTTTTTGGTTGACAAACCCTACATAGTACCATGAGTTACACAAACTGATGATGAAAGGAGCGGAAAAAAGAAACGACTGTGGCAGTAGGAACTAGGTGAACAAAAGAGCCAAGCCTAGTGCCGTTCGTTCCTGGATCGGAATATTACATTTGAACTCTATTATTGACGTCCGTCTTAAATTACTCATCAGTGAATAAACGTCAAACAACGGCAAAGGAAAAAATATTAGAAAAATTATATTGTGCATAATATTCGTAGATTTAATTCAATAACCAAATTTCATATTAAGGCGGAGCAGACGAATCAAACCCCGATACATTTTAGGGCAAAATGGTGTCGCCATCAGAAGACGCACAAATAACAAAATTATTATCAAAGGTGAGTGAGCAGTGGAGAGAAAACCAAAACTCCGAGACAAAGGAGATGACAGACAAACGTAGTATTTTTCTGCTGAAGCAATGGTTTTTAATTGTTTACAATTTGATAATAAGATCGCTATCATTCGGTTCTATTTACTTGCATAGTATAAACATGTGAATGCCACCAAGAAGGAAATCATTGATGTGGTCACAAATTATCGAAGTTTGACGTATAAATTACAAAAGTTCGGTAAGTGTTGCTGGGGTGTTGACAATAGGAACAACCATAATGGATACATTATCTCATTTCAGTATTCAATGATGGCAGTTCAAAAGACTTATTCAACTTACAAGGAACCATACCGGTCGTTTATAAAAGTACGTTTTTTTATTTGATTTTGTTCTACCTTATCGATAACTTCATAATAATCTTCACGTTTAGACAATACCTACTACATTCCAATTTGTATTTGGCTAATGGACACTCATCCAATGAATGCTCCTATATGTTATGTCAAACCTACACCAACAATGCATATCAAAGTTTCAATGTATGTGGATCATAATGGACGTATCTACTTGCCGTATTTGCATGACTGGCAACCAGTAAGTTCAAATGGCACGTAATTATATGCTTATCTTTGATATTGCAATTTTAAATTTCAGCATTCTAGCGACTTATTGTCTTTGATACAAATAATGATTGTGGTGTTTGGTGATTATCCGCCAGTGTATTCAAAACCAAAGGAACAAGTTGCGCCATATCCAACAACAGGTAAATATGAATTATGATTCAAAGACATTTGAAAAATATATTTGTTTTTAGGTTATATACCGCCCGCTGGTCCCAATGCATCATCTACATCGGGTGGATCTTATAATTTGCCCTACCCAGCCAGTGGTGGCTCTTTTCCACCATATCCTCCCTCAAGTGGAAATAATTTTGGAGGGTTTCCACCATATCCAACATCTGGAAATGTAATGCCTGCAGCCACGTCTGGCCCGGGTACTGGATATCCACCTTATATGAATTATCCACCTGGCCCTGGCTACAATTCAGGATATGTGAGTAACATTTTCAATTCCATAACACTTATAAATACATATTTCTAACGCGTTTCTTATTTGTTAGAACTCTTCGAATGCCAGCTCAACAGGAACCATTACGGAGGAGCACATTAAGGCATCTCTTATTAGTGCTGTTGAAGACAAACTAAGACGACGTCTACAGGAGAAAGTAAATCAATATCAAGCTGAAATTGATACACTGAATCGTACCAAACAAGAATTGGTAGAAGGCAGTGCTAAAATCGACTCTATAATAGCTCGCATGGAAAAGGAGCAGGTTAATTTTACAAAATATTTTATATAGATATAATATATAACGAAGTATTTTCCATATTAGGTCGATTTGCAAAAAAATATCAACATTTTACGTGACAAAGAAGAGGAATTAGAAAAGAGTTTAGAATCTTTGGAGTCTTCGGATGGTATTGATCCAGATGAAGCGGTTACTACTACTGCCCCCTTGTACAGACAGTAAGTTTAAAATTTATTTATTATAAGATGTTATGGGGCTTGTTTATAAGGTCATAGATTATCATCCGGGGGTTTTTAACCATTATAAGGTAAAATATGTGTGTATCATTAAATCGATTTATTTCTCGTATAGGCTACTAAATGCTTATGCCGAAGAAGCTGCCACCGAGGATGCCATTTACTATTTGGGAGAAGCGTTGCGAAGCAGTGTGATTGATTTGGAAACATTCTTAAAACATGTACGCCAGCTATCACGTAAACAATTTATGTATAGGGCACTAATGCAAAAATGCCGACAAAAGGCAGGACTTGCCGGATAAATATTTAATGATTATGATTAATGCAAGAACAACGTTAACACAAAAAAATTTCGATTCATTATGATCAAGGAGACAGTGTTTCTCAAACAGTACCACTATGAAGCCATAATTATTGTGGAATTTATCGTTATATAAAATATTCTAAATATTTATACAAATTATACGTTCGTATTAAAAATTGTAAACATACTCAAAAAATCTCATTTTAATTTCTCATCACATCCACAGAAAAAAAGTTTCCTTTGAGTTGTACTGTTTTAACATTTTGGAAAATAACCATACGAGATAATTGGGTATACCTAGCCAATGCCTTCATTGTTTGCACACAGATATCAGTATCGAAACAAATGTAGACCCACTTGTTATAATGATTAGTTACAGACATTTTATATATTGAACCTACAAAAATATCTCAATAATAAAAACATAATCGATTCATGAAAAAGTATTGTTGTTAAAAATACTCATCCACTGATACCATTAAATTTGGGCCCTTATTACAAAGATAACCTTTTTTGTGGGAATCTTTATTCTGAGATATGGCTGGGACCCATGTATTTTTCGATGCTTTTTAAAACGCTCTAAGGCAATATGGGTATCGAAGTCGTAAAATGTAATTATTTTATCGAAGAAGTCCATACTTCCTGAGATATGACTCCAAATGCTGGGCAAGACAATATGCTACCCAATTTTAAACTTCAAAAATGTATTAAAGGTATTTTTGTATTTTTTGCGGGAATCTTTATTCTGAGATATGGCTGGGACCCATGTATTTTTCGATGCTTTTTAAAACGCTCTAAGGCAATATGGGTATCGAAGTCGTAAAATGTAATTATTTTATCGAAGAAGTCCATACTTCCTGAGATATGACTCCAAATGCTGGGCAAGATAATATGCTACCCAATTTTAAACTTCAAAAATGTATTAAAGGCTAAGTGTATTGGAGTATGAAGTTTATTAAAATGGGATTCTGTAGGCGAATGTACTACCACATTTGGAGGATCATATCACAGAAAGTAGGGACTTCTCCGAGGAGATAATTACATTTGTAATCATAACATAAACCCCTACAATTTGATATTCATATTGCCTTAAAAAAAGCTGGAAAAAATATATGGGTCGCTGCTGATCTTTGGAGGTCCATATCTCCGGAACTATGTATTTCTGCAAGAAAAATTATATCATAGTAATTTGGACCTGTATGTCTATCTGTGGTAAAATTTTCGACCGAGCCCTTAATTCGACTTGGTTCTTAAATATTGGACTATAATTTCCATATATTTATTCACCAAACCGCTTCTCCACAAACACAAAAATTTCAAACAAATAAATACATTTACCTTATGATCTTTATTGGAATTCTTAAATATGTACGCATACAGTGGAATTTTGCCGAAAATTATTGTAGATATAAAATCTACTGAAATATGATTCATATATAAATGCCGACTGCTAACATCAAAAACATTATTCCGAATCCCAAAAATACTGAACCGCATAAACTAATGGCCAATTCTTTGAATAGGGTCTTCTCGTTTTTGGCATTCTTGGGCCGTGAAACAACAAAGATGAAGAACCAAGCGGTGAAAAATGTTCCAATGATAAGTAAAACAGTTGCAAGGTGAGGAAAGACAGCTGGGTTTATGGGTGAAATGTAACGTTGCATTGTCGATTCCATTCTAGAAAGGAAGTTGGTTAACGAATTTTAACAGAATTAATACAATTAATATAAATAATTTTTACTTACATGTTTGTGATTGATTTGGTTGTACGTGTCCCCTGGTATCCGGCGAATAAATAGGGATCTAAAAATCACTTTCTAGAGTTGTGAACGAACTAGTTCAAAGAGATTATTCTGCATTAGGAACGATCGGTACTAGGTTATTTCGACCATTAATTTCCATTTTCGCCAGTCGTTCCACATTCGTCTAGTTCACATAGTTCATTTTGATACAAACGTTCAATTTTCGTTTCGTTCCTGAATTTCAATAAAAAACATACTACACCTTTACAAAATTCTCGAAACGGTTTTTTTATTCAGAAATAAATTTTTTATAATATAAAAAAATTATTTCTTTTCTTGGGAAAAAAATTAAATTAGTCTTGATTTAGAGTTTACTTGCGGCAAGTCTTTGTTTGTAGGAGAGAGGGGCAAGGGGAATAGAAATGAAAAAAAATTGCTCGTACCGACAATTTTCTGGCAATTCGTTTTGTGTATTTCGTATTTGTTGACATTTTATATAGATTTAAATGTGAAAAAACAACAAATAGAAAAATATTTTGGAAACCGAATTGCCTTGTATAAACGCATGAAGCAAGTTCAAAAGAGAACGACAAGAATTGTGGCAAGTAAACTCGTCTAATCTAAATCAAGACTTATTTAGAAAGAATGTGTGTGGTGACCAATTTGTACACATTTGTTTTTTTAATTGAAAACCTTGGGCAACCTGTCGTGAATGTTCACTAATTTTGTGGTTCTCTGTGCTCGTTTAAAAAATATATAATATCTAACAATATAATATGTATTTTTGCTAATATAATTTAATCTTTTTAATTCTAATTGGCATTTTGTTCCTATTCCCAATTTGTTACATTACAGACGAGCGTCGTTCGCTCTCTCATTCTTTGTTCGACCCCCAATTATGAAGTAATTACCTACTTAGTTCCCCATACAAAATTTTCTGAGCGAACACCGACTTTTGTACGTTGTTCAATTCGAATCCCTCTCTGAATAACCAAGAATTTTGTCCCAACCCTAACAATTGAGAGTATTTATCGAAAATAAATTAATTTTGACAGTTTGAAAATATTAATGAAATTTTCAAACTTTTTCAGTAAAATTGAAAATGATGACTGAAAGTAACAAATTGTCTAGTTTTTATATATGCAGTAGGATGAAAATTTTGTAATCTACATAATGCAATATGCATTTCTTTCCCTTTTGTTCTAATTAGCATACAAAACAAGAAACAAATGTGGGGAAACCCAAACAAAATTTGTCCAATTTTTCATTTGAATTGAGAAAATATAAAAATTTATTTATAGCAACAATATTTTCAGAAAAAATGGAAAACATGAATTAAAAGTAAATAGATATATTTTCATACTATAGTCAGGAGAAAGAGAATTATTTTTTCTATTTAGATCCATATGTGATTCACGCAAATATGTTAACATTTTGGTGTAAAACAAGTAACAAAAAGTTTGAAATAAAAAACTCTAATGACATGAATTAAGAATAGTGTTGTATGAACGGGTTAATTCATGTACGTAATTCTGAGAGCGAACTAAGTTGTTGGAATGCCCGTCAGAACGTGGCATTAGCTTATTTAGTTGTTGTAACATTTTTTATTTTGTTTTGTTATTTTGACATCTCAAAACAGAGTTGCCAAATTTTGTATTTCATAAGTCTGCTTTTCCACAGGCAAATTTTTATTTGGCAAATTTTTTGTTTTCTCTTTTGAAATTTTTGCTTGCTTTTCCATTAGCAAATTTTTCTTTGCCAAATTTGCGAAGAAAGAAAATAAAAATCAAAAGTGTTTGCAAAAATTTTATTTATTTTTTATATATTTTATTATATAAATTGCAAAAATTAAATTTCACTTGCACAAATTCTCGAAAAGCCGGCTGTGTGTCAGTAAAGCGAATAGGTTCAAAGGGAAATGTGAAAACAATTTTGTTGAACCTATTCGCTTTACTGACACACAACCGGCTTTTGTTTACAAATCTGTTGCTTTAATTTGTGCAAGTGAAATTTAATTTTTAATTTTTGCAATTTATATAATAAAATGTATAAAAAATAAATAAAATATTAAAAAAAAAATCTTTAAAATGCAAACACTTTTGACTTTTATTTTCTTTCTTTTGTATTTTGATTCGCAAATTTGGCAAAGAAGAATTTGCTAATGGAAAAGCAAGCGAAAATTTCAAAAGAGAAAACAAAAAATTTGCCAAATAAAAATCTGCCTGTGGAAAAGCAGACTTGGGAATACAATGCCACATCACCATCCGTCAATATCTCAGATACAACGGAAACTGATTGTGTCCAGATTTATGCTAGTGTTGCGTCACATTCGGCATCGGAAATCGTTAAGGATGTAAATGAAGTGATTAATCCAAAATCTAGTGCTAGTCTGGAAAAGACTCAAAACCTACTCACGGAAATCATCACTTCAAACATCTAAAGCGTCTCATCGACTAATTTTCTGCTAATGAATTTGTTATAGAATTTCTAGAAAGATCAGATAATGTAGCTCATTTACCTCAGAGATCTGAGCCAGAATCAAAAAAAAAAACTAAATAATCTATTTACCATTTGCTATCAGAATGTAAGGGGGTTAAACATTAAATTAACTCGGTTATTTATTGATAGCATTGGTTTTGAATTTAGCATTATTGTGTTTACTGAGACTTGGCTCAAAACGTCTGTGTTAAATAGTGAAATTATGTGTTCAAAATATTAAATATTTAGACAAGATCGTACTGGTAAAAAAGGTGGTGGCGTCCTTATTGCAGTTGATGCCAAATTTTCCACTAATTTAATTAAATTGTTTGACATAGAATTTATCTGCATATTAATTGAACTGGGTAAATTTAAATTATTCGTTACGTGCTCATATATACCTCCCTCATCACATCTTGATATTTATAATCAGCATTTAGCAGCACTAAACTCAATTATTAATATTATTCCGATAGAATTTTAGATCTTGGTGATATTAATATGCCATCTGTAAAATGGCTCTCATTGCCAGACTCAGAAAGTTTAACGCCGTTGACATCTGAAGCAAATGTAAACCAGTATACATTTGATATTGTTAATCGATTTTGTAAAATTAATCTCCTTCAAAAAATATTATTTTAAATTGTTATGACAGAATCCTTGATCTAGCATTTGTAAATTTTACACAATTTTTTGAGTTAATTCGAATCGAAGATAAAATTAAACTAAACCGAAGTCATTTTATGAGTTTGTTAACTTAAAAAGAAAAGTCTCCAGATATCCATGGATTGCATAAACTTTTTCCACAATTATGAAATGCAACAAGATAAAAAATAAGGAGTTTGTAAAAAACTCTGAAATAGCTGAATGTTTTGCAAATTTTTTCGCCTACACTTATTCATATGCAGTTTGTCCAAATATAAGTTCATATCCTTATGAGCTATCTAAAATAGATCAAACATATATGCCTTTTTTACAAAGTCAAGATGTTGCTAAAAAATTACGTACTCTAAAACCTATTAAACTTCCTACCTAGCATAATTCTCAAATATTGTTCTGACACTTTGGCAATGCCTCTTACGTTGCTATTTAATCATTCCTTAAATTTTGGTTATTTTCCTACTATATGGAAGAAATCTTTTATAGTACCGCTACACAAGTCTGGTAGTCTATCAAACGTCTCAAAATACAGAGGAATTGCAAAATTAAGTGATATCCCAAAATTTTTTGAAAAATTAATTACTGCTGTTATTTCTCACAAAATTCAATCCAATTTAAGTCCATATCAACAAGGCTTTCGTAGTGGTCTTTCTACTATAACAAATCTTATAGAGTTTACTTCAATTGTAATAAACTTACTCAAATTGATATCATCTTACTAACAAAATAGATCACAGCTAGTTTTGTTTGAAGGATGTCTCTCAAAATCGATTTACATACCTTCAGGTGTTCCACAAGGAAGTCACCTCGTGCCGGTTCTTTTTCTATTGTTTATAAATGATTTGCCAACTTCTGTAGTACATTCTAAATTGTTAATGTATGCAGATGATGTCAAGTTGTTCAATACCCATAGAAACAATTCAATTTACTCCAAAATTATTAAAATAACCTTTTTCAATGGTGCAGATTAAATTTTATGGATTTAAATTTGAACAAATGTACACATGTGTTTTTCTATAAATTCTTCATTGATGAGGCAATAGAATATTAACGGTTCGGTTTTATCAACAGTTGAAACATTCGTGGATCTTGGTATTTTAATGGATCCAAAGATAAACTTTAACAATCATGTTATTTCTATGGTAAATAAAGCATATGGTGTATTAAATTTTATAAAACGGTGGGCCAAAGAATTCTCGGATCCTTATATAACAAAACAACTACACACGTCTCTGTTGTATGGGATCCTCAATATGTAATATATTCCGATAAAATCGAATCAGTGCAGAAACAATTCTTATAATATTTTGACAAAAAATGTAGACAGCAGCTGACCTTACTGGATGGCCTATTATATAGACCTTGGTTCCAACTACAACATTGATGTATCAAAACAAAAACCTTTGTTTTTGTCTCGATTATCTGTCAAATTTTTCCCTATAATATTTCACATGGTTGGCAACACTGCACATCGAATTCAAGTAGAAATTACGAACTTTGACAGTTAATCGAGACATCAGCTGCTCTAAATGGACGACATATTTATTGTACCATGGATGTAGGTATAGAACATAGCCCAAATATCAGGTCATCCAGAAGGCAAAATTCAGGAAATAAACATGTTCTGTCAAAAGTTGTTGTTGTGGCGAAAATATGTTTGAAAAAATTTCGATTTATTGTGTACTTTTTGAACGCGAACAACAAATTTTTAACGCAGCACTGATTTTATTTTAATAAATACTTGATTTTTCATTACATTTTATAAACATTTTGTGTATATTTTTTGGACAATTTTTAAA